TGTACATTCTTCCCTGACCATAATTCAGCACTAGCATCAGCTGTGCATGTGCATGTCAATTTCAATCTTGGACCACTTTGCAGTTAGTAGTAAAAGAAAGAAAAATGGGATGTTTAAGTGGCATGCTGGTGGTTTTTAACCAAAATATTTAAGAGTACAACCTCTGAGCTGAAATTCTGCTTTTCAAAATTGTGTCGCATGGCAGTTGCGATGGAGTTAGTTATCCTAGGATGGGATAATGGGGGCGTCTTTTTGAAAGAGCTGGCATAAAGCACGGAGGACTGTGCCCCATGTAACTGTGTTCATGAGGGAAAGGGGTTAGTTTTAGGATTAATCGGGTAAATGCTTTTGATATTAATTAGATAAGAATTCTGTAATGTGAAAGAAAAAAAAACCACTTCACTACAGGAATTTCAATCACACTGTCTTTTCTTTAAAAAACAAACCAAAACAAGCTGTCATAAAACTTTGAAGCTTACCATAAGGAGGAATTCAGTGACTGCACTGATCCTCAGCCAGTCTGAAATCCTCGACACCAAAAGAACATACAGCACTCTGCTCCCACAGGGACCAATCTGTGAATGGTAACAACCACACAGAAAATGGAAGTGTTTTCTTTTACAAAAGATGTAAGCGGCTCCCTTAGGAGCATGAGTTTTTTTACCCTTTGCCCTAAGGAGCACAGGCCTGGGAGGTAACTCCTCAGTCCATGGCTGTTCTCGGAAATTCTCAGATTTCCTCTGAGGCTAAAAGTGCTTGTTCCAGCCTTGTTTAGATTTGTAACTTCCAGCCTGGCTTCCTGCAGTGGTCTTGACTTGGAATCATTACGTAGCATTCATTTTGCAGTACTTTGCATCTATCTTAGTGGCCCATTTTTCATTAGAGCACCATAAAGCAGTACCTACTATTCATTCAGTGTTAATGTGCTTGGCACAGCTGGCACAGAGGGGCACTACATAAATGCGTGAATTTGGGGCTTAATGGGTTTACTCCATCAGTGCCAGGAGACCTAGATTCTAGTTTTATTGCTACACATTCATGGGTCAACCATGTTTGGAAAGTCATTTTACTTCTCTGTACCTCAGAAACAAGAGTTGCTAGAAATTATAGCGTTTTAGGAGAGAAAGGGCAGTCAGGTTCCAATGAGGAAGCATTTCTATGTAAGCATTTTGGGTAAATTGTCTAAAGAGATCTCAAAAGACAGGGATCTAAACTCTAAAGTTCCAGTAATTTGCTGTGATTTTGTTTCTCATTTTAAATATTTACTTTTTTTCTAATTTTGTATTTGCAGTTTTAAGTGCTAAGTACCACAAAACCCAGACTCTTTCTGTTCCTCAAATGAATCTGCACTCTAGCCAAGGTGGTCTATTCTTTGCCAATAAAGCTACTGTGCCTTTTCTAAAACTATTCCCTCTCTATGAGGGGATGGGGTGAGGATGGTGGTAGCAGAGAAGGAAGAGGGAGAGCACATTCTAGACAGAAGGACAGTGAATGTGATAACTGAGTCAGGAAAGAATTTGTTCATGGAACTAAGAGGAGGTCAGTATAGGAACTGTACACGAGAGTAAGGGGAGAGTGGTGTCAGATGGAGTAAATCCATTAAGCCCCTAGTGGGGGAAAGGCAGGGGCCAGGCAGACCATGGAAAAGAGCTTTATTCCAGCCATTGAAGCTAGGGAGTGATTAAGATACAGCTAAAACTTACAGAGATCACTCTGGGTACTGTGGAGAATGAGCAGAGGTGGGACAAGAGGGAAATCAGGGAGACAAGCTGGACTAGTGCAGCGTCTGCGTAAGAGAAGGTGGTGGTTTGGACTGGGGAGGTGGTGGCAGAGATGGTGCGACATGGTCAGATTTGATATATATTTTGCAGGTAGAGATGACAGGGTTTGCTGTTGAATTAGATTGGATTTGGTAGGAATGAAGATAAGGGAATCGTGGATGATCCCCCAGTTTGAGCAACTGGGTTGAGATCACGTGCATTTGCTGAGAGGAGGAAGCCTGGTGGAAGGCAGTTTTAGATATGTTGAGGCTGAGATGCTTGTAATACTCCAAGGGGAGGTGTCAAGTAGGTCTTTGTTTATACAAAGTTTGCAAGAGAGGTTTACACTAAAAATATAACTAAACAAATATAGTATTATCTCAATAGATTCAGAATAAGCATTTGATAAAATTCAAAAAACACACATTCATGATTAAAAAACAACGCTTAGTGAGCTGGGAATACAAAGAAACTTCCTTTTGCTAATAAAGGATATCTATTCAAACCTGCAATAAATATAATACTTAATGGTGAAAAGTTAGAAGCATTCTCTTTAAAGTTAGAAATAAGACAAGGCTAACCACTATCGCTGCTACTCTTCCAGCGTAAAACGTAAGACAAGAAAAAGCAATAAAAATTGTAAAAATAGAAAGGAAGAAACAAAGCCATCAATCACTAAAAAAATATGATTGTGTACACAGAAAATCCAAGAGAATCTAAGATAAACTATTGTAATTAATGTAAGCAAGGTTGCTGGACACACTCTCAAAATACAAAAATCAGTGAGATTCCTTTATACTAGCCACAAAATAGCTGGATGTTGTAACGAAAAATTTATAACAGCAACCAAAATGGTAAGCTACCTAGAACTAAGTATCTCATACAGATGTGTAAAACTTTTATGAAGAAAATTTTAAAACCTCACTGAGGTATGTTTAAAATATAGAAAGAAAGCGTATAAAGAGTTATCACGTTCATAGTTAGGAAGACTTAATCATAAAGCTGTCAAATCACTCAAATACAATTGATAAGTCAAGAAAAGCCAAGAGAGTTTTGAAGAAGAACCGTAAGTAGGAGCCTTACCCTACCAGATATTGAGAAAGTTGGGAGTATCTTCCTTTTTCCTGTTATGAAAAAACATGATTTAGGGGTAACACTCCTGGCCTCTCTCCATCTTCTCATTCACTCACTCTTAGAGGAGGAGGGCCTTTTCTGGCTGGTGAATTTAGAGGGAAAAGTAAAACCTGCGTCTTCTTGGCTTAGCCCCTCTGGGTTATTGCAGGAGTCATGACCGCTTACCGCAGAGTGGTTAAGGGCCTGCCTCTGTGGGGAAAGCCAGGGGTTCTCCAGTTCACACTGTGATTGGGAAGGGAAGTTTAATTTTGAGTGACGTCTTTGCAAGCCCTTTTATTATACATCTAAAGCCACATTTTCCAAGTGGTTTTATCAGTAATAAAACTGACATTTTATTTCTATTAGTGTATCTCTTATATCTCTTGTCTCAAATGGTTCCAAATGTCAGGAGGAAGAGGGATGCTATTTATTGTGCATCCTCAAACCTCAACAAGCCTTAGAAAAATTGTATCTTATAATATTAAAAATGTGTTACTAGCCCATGGATAGACAAAACAATGAGCTTGAAAACAGATCCATGTATATAAGTGAACTTGGTATATGAAAGACATGGCATTATCAAACAGTGGACAAAGGACAGACTCTTCAATAAATGATTTGGGACAATTTGCTGTCTGTACTGAGCAAGAGTCATTTAGTGATTAATCAGGCAGTGTTGTAGACTGCCTCTTTTTTTGATTATCTACCATTTGTGTTATAAAACCTTTCATGAATTATATACCTTGTTTCCAAATAGAACACAAATCCCGTGAAGGTAGGGCTTGTGCCTTATACTTCTTGTTACACTCCAGAGTGCCTATCACAGAACTTTACATATAGACGATGCTAAATAAGTGTCTGCTAGTTCACTTGTATTATTACTACTGTTATTATTGTACATTAAAACTCAGTTTCTCTCTCTCATTCCTCAGGACATAAGGGACATATCAACACTAAGTTTTTATAAGTATTTTGATATTCTGAGTAGAATTCTTTAAACAATTACGTATTTGCTTAACAGGAGTGCTATCTAAAATCAGACATCTGGAACTTGCATTTTGAAGATCATGTGAGACAAAAATCAAAAACGTTAAAGTAAAGGTCAATCATAGATGTCACTTTCTTATTATCCTCAAGGCCCATCCTTACAGCACAGAAGAAAATAAAACCTCGTACCTTCCTCCCCACAAACAGTTTTTCCATTTAATATCTCATTTCATCCTCACCACAAACTGGTAAAATGAGCGGGGCAGGGATTACAGATGAGGAAATTAAGTTTCAGAGAGGTAGGAATTGAGCTCACACAGTAGGTTAGAAAAAGATCTGGGATCAGAAGCCAGTGCACTTCAGAAGACAGAAACTATGCTGCTCCCAGTTGTCTAGCTCTAAAGGCCTGATTTCCATTCACATGATTTTATGTTACTGCCCATCATCCAAGGATTCAAACTTCAAGAATTACTAAATGGCAAGAGCCAACAGCTTTCCATTTATTTAGGTCAAGTGAATCAATCTAATGTCTTCTTTGCAGCAGACCTTTCCTTTCCCCTTCTCTTTTTAAAAGGGTCATGTCTATCCTGACAAAGTGCTTTTAAGCAGCAGCTTTCCCTCAAGGTACAACAGGAACTGACATCAAATACTGTATAGGAAGCATTCTAGTATGTGCCTCCTGGTCTCAGACTAGGTCCTGACAACCGGACCTACTCCTTTCTCTGCTTTCTTCCTTTAACTCGCATAGCCATTGATCTTGATGCTCATTCTATAGTTACGTCCTTTGTTTATGCTTTGGAAAAGTCCTAGAGGCTCCACGTCTCCCTTTTGTGAATCACATTGGTGGTCCTCCAGTCTCTGCCTCAGCAATGCACTCACGGATTCCTTGCCCAGCCAATCTCCAAATGTTCAAACAATATCCCTTCTCAAATCCGCCCCTCTCCCGAGGGTGCTTCACCCTCCTTAGCCAGACAGGAGCTTAGACCTACACTAGGATGATGGCTGCCTTTCCTTTTCTTCAGATATCTTATTACAGAGAAAACCCAGAAGGCAGGTGTGGAGCAATGTGGAAGTCAGGGAATTTTCTCAGGATCATTATCCACATTACAGTTTCTGGTTATCAGAGAGAAAAGTACTTACCACCTGACCATTAGTCCATGTTCCATGAAGTTTTTCAGGTTAGGAAGGGTTTGCCTCAAGTCTGGAGTCCCTAGTCCATGCTGATATCTGAGCTGTAAAGGTGGAAAAACAGAATTAGAAGAAATTCTGGCAGATACTAGGCAATGCTTCCAAAACACGAACCACCGAACAAGTTTTTTTTTGAACTCTAAAAGCGGAAATGTGAATGTATGATCTCAGTATCATCAACCACACTTTGGGGATAGTATTTAAAAGTAGTCTCTTCATTTCCTGCTCCCTTGCCGCCTAAACTTGGAGAAGACTAAGGATGACCAACTGTGAAATCAGGGTATTTCAAAGACCCCTGCAGAGTTTGCTAACATCAACTCCAGGGACATACACCAGTATGAAATGAAAACTTGTATTTCATTTTAGATACTATTATATACCCTGAGCACATTCAGCTCTTCTTTCACTGACTCCCTTTGTATAATCAAGCATAAGGGTCATGTTGTATTCATCTCTGATGCCCAACAGTGTCTGACACAGTGCGAGTGCTCAGTCAATGCTTATCAAACAAATAAATAGCAAGCCACTTTTGACAGAGGCTGTATTCTGTATTTCTCTCATATCTCTAACTTTCCTCTTTGTCCAGAACCAGAGCACAGAGCTGTAGAGCTAGTATGAGGAAACCATTGGCTTGTGGGCTAGATTGGCCCTTAGTTTAACTGATTTCTGCTGATAGGCTGATTGTCTAAAACTGGTGTCCTTCTATGTACCTTGGGTAACCTGCCAAATGGTTTTTATCTGTCTGTTCCTTGCCTCCTCTCACTTTGTCTCTGAATACCATTTGCTTCCTTAACTGACCATAATAGAGATCTGGGGCAAGTATATGTGCATATTCATACATATACTCACACAAATAATATCAAATATGCAGTAAGTGTAAAACACAGCCCTGTAGAAATGTATTTTTCAAATAACATAATATATTTGAAGAAAATACTTTGTAATCTGTATACTGGTGTACAAATGTGAAGGGTCATCAGTCAAAGTCTTACTTTTCCAGCACCTAAATTCAAAAGTGGCTAACTCGAATTTTTAAATATTTTCCTTTCTTAAAAAATAAAACCACACAAAAAAAATCAAAGTTTTCTTTTGTTTGTATCTAGTACTCAATCAAATTTTCTCTGTGAGTGAGTAACACTTAAAAGGGAAAGAGTTCACTCTCACTACACTGAGCTTTTTAAGGAAAACCCCAAAACCTAATCGGGTCTCTTGAATGGTCTGAAGACACAAACAAAGTAAGGAGGTAGAAACGTAGAACGTTAAAGCTAAAAGGTATCTTGAATATTATTTAAGCCGATCCTTTCCTTTTGCAGATGGGGAGACTGAAGCCCAGAAAGGGGAAGTAAACTCTCCAGGGCCACATGTTTCAATGGCAAAGATATTATTAGCCAGAGCCTCCTTTGCACAACCATGCTACTCCACCATCTACCCCAAAGTCTGAGAGGAAAACTGGTAAAAATACTAGAGAAGACAAAGGGAAAATATTCTTTCTTTTTCCAAAGCTAGCTTGGTGACCTAAATCACCTCCTGAGGTTTGCTGACCTTGAATTATATGAACCACTCCATATTAAATAACATCATTTCTTGTATTAATATAAAAGCATTTTTTCCATACATTGATAAAAGCAAAATGGCTGATATATCCCAATATGACATTCCTGAATTCACTGTTACAATAAAAAAGTGAAATTGTTTACACATGGCATGGCAATTTCACCTGTGAATCATACGAAAAATATTAAATGTCAAAAAAACCATGCTGAAACAACACTGAGCTGTGTGTCCCTGAGCCAGCACAGAGTCAACTGCCTGCCCCAGGCTCCACAATGAAAGGTGGGTGTTACACTCTTCTCAGAGACCACAATGAAAATTTCCCTCCCAGTCTGATTTCAACCAAAGAAGGAAAATGTGGGACTCTGAAGCCTCCACCCAGGTCTTAACTCTTCATTTGCTGCATAGCACTATTATTTTTATCATAGAATCTTAGGATATTAGAGCTTAAAGAGATTCTGGAGGTTGTCTTTTCCAAACTCCTTCCTTTCATAAATGAAGCAAGTAAGACTCATCGAGGTCACAGAGTTGATAAGGGAGAAAATCAAGGCTAGAATCTCTTAATAACAACTTCAAATTCTTTCTGCTACGTCACACTTTTAGTTTTCAACATACAGAACTAAAAAAGAAATTCACACATAATACATATATATTAATTTAATTTTTAAAATAAAGTACCTGTGCTGTTTAAAGTCTAAACCACTTGAAGGCTTATAATGAAAAAGCAACAGTTCTTTGCTCTTCAGTAGCAACTACTTTTAGCTGTTTCTTTTTTACCTTCATATTTCTAAATAATAGGCTTACATCAATATTTCTTATTCTTTCCTTCCCAGTTTTAGACATCATCTACTATATTCCTACTACGAAAAACGAGAAGCTACCTCTCTCATAGTACCCTTCTCTCACACAAACATTTTATCCCCTTACCCATATGTCATCTCCTGACTTTTATTTATTAAAGAAGATGAGCATTTAACTCGCTACCCTCCCAAATATATGTCGTCTTCTTACCCTCTCAAGATATTTAAGATCACATTTTTTGTTGTATCAGTATTTAGTGTTTACCTCATTGTACCAATAAAAGTACTGTTCACTGCTGAGCCATGTAATATACTATTCCTTTTTTGTTTTTTGTTTTACTATACCATTCCTGTTTGTTTTTCCTGAAGTGATAATTACAATTTTTTCCCTTGTTGAGTACCTATCTTATTGATAGTACTACTTGTTGAGTACCTATGTACCTATCACAAGATCCTCCCCAAACTAGGACAAAACCTTAAAACTCCATCTCAATCTGATTAAATACACCATATAACCTACCAAGTCCATTTCTCCCCTTGGATATTTCCTGAAGTACCCCTCTCTCTGCTCCAGTCTGAACTGGCTGCTCTCTTAGGCCTGCTCCATTGTTATCTTCCTAGAACTTTCCTTCACCATCATCCTGGAAATTTTGTTTACTTCTCTTCTGTGTTGAAGTTGTTGTTTCCTAGATCTCATGACTTCTTTCTTGATTCACTGTCTCATCTTGGTGAGGCATACCCTGTAATAGCTTTCTGGGAAAGGTGAGCAGGGGAGGCACCTTTTTTGACACTTTGAATGTTTAAAAATATCTTTATTCCACTCTCACACTTGAATTATAGTTTGCCTGGGTATAGAATTCAAGGCTGAGAATAATTTTCCTTCCGAATTTCTAAAGTATTGTTTCACTATCATTTAACTTCCCATATGGCAATTGAGAAAACTGATAACATTCTGATTCCTGACCCTTTGTATGTAAGCTGACTCTTCTCTCTGGAAGTTTTTAGGATTTTATTCAACCCTAGTATTCTGAAATTTCACAGTTATAACCCTTTGTTTGGGTCTTTTTTCATTCATTATATTGGGCATTTAATGAGTCCTTTCAATATGAAAACTCTTATCCCCTAATTCTGATTATTTTCTTGTATTATTATTATTTTATCTTCTCCTTCTTCATTTTATGTTACTTCTAAGTTTCTTTGTTTTTTTTTTAGAATTTAAAAAAAAAATTAGAGGCTTTCCCCTAATGTCTAGTAATCTTTGGTTGTCAGTTCGTCTTTATGAATGGGACTTTGAAAAGCTGATCAAATAGTCTATGCATTGGCAGTGCTTGTTGACTGGGGTCACTGTAGAATGAGTGGATGGAAACCTCGCCCTTGCATTTGTGGAGGCACGTCAGTCCCAGTAACTCCCACTGCCGGGACTATTTTTTTCCAGAGAGAGTCCTCTAATCTTCTACGTAGGGGTATAATCTGGATCCCTTTTCGGGAGTTAAGTAGGAAAAAGTGGTTGGGGAATTCAGTGTTGGTATGTTGGGCTTTCACTGTATCCCCTTGTTTTCAGCAAGGCGTCTTACATCTTGCCCCAGTATACCAGGCAGTTCAGAGTTCAGAGCTTCTTGGGTTCAATTTTTTTAGAAAGTAAACCTCTAGTCTCCCATTGGGGTATGTGCAGAGTTAGTTACTTGGCTATGCAGGGTGGGGGAAATGAACTGGGAGTCTTACTTCTCTTTCTATAGACTTTCAACTAATCCTTCTGCTTTTAGACCTATTCCTTACCCCTACACTCTATGAGGTACCTGGTACCGCCAAATCCTAAGTCTTTCTGGAGATCTTTGGCTTGAATTACATTGCTTCTTGAAGGCTATAGATTTCACTTTTCTCCATTCTGCCAACTCAGTCTACCACTCATTTATTTGCTTGCGATTTTCTAAAATTTTGTCAACTCTATCCCCTGTTCATTTCTTCTGTTCTTTTCATCCTTCTGAGTTTATAATTTTTAAATTATTTTATCTTTATTAACAGCATTTCACTAGGGAGCTGACATAAATGAGCATATTCAATTTGTTTATCATGAAGTTCCCTATATATAGAACAGTTTTTCAATATTGGCTAACAACCTCCCTTACAGCCTTTTACACAGCACTCACCACTCTGGCAGAGAGCTCCCTTTCCTATCTCCAAGTCTCTTTTTAGGCATCCTAGATCTGGTGATTTCTATCCATTCTCAAAGAGCCAGCACAAGTTCCAGTTCCTGTAGGAAGCACCCTGATTACTCCTCTCCCCAAATCCCTTCCTATACCACCTTTCCATTTGCTGTCTTTGGAAAGCCTTGACTAATTGAGCACTTTAACTGGTGCTCAACGGCTTATCACTTAACTAATAAGAATGAGAATCAGAAAAGAAAAAAAAAAAAAAGAGTTCAAATCATAGGGAAAAAATCTTAAGTACATTGTTCAGTTTTTAAATGCCAATTTTTACTAATTTACTAAGCTTCTGACTATAAGCACTCCAGAGAGGCAGCAATAACACACATAAATGTAATATCTTTAAAATAATTACATAGAGAAATGGAAAGATTGATACATAATGTGGGTGGTCAGGTGACCTGAGTGACAGACCTAGCTCTGCTGTATGGCCACAAGCAAGTCCCTTCTCTGCTTGGGCTAGTCAAATAATTTTCAAACTATTTTTCT